TTGGCGCCACAGGACGACTGCAGCTCATGTTTAAGCTGGCGGAGGGCGCCGGGTTGGCCGTGCCACAGGCAGCGGCCAATGCGCTACTTGCCACAGCGCCGCAGCCTGCACCGTTACAGCAGCAACAGCAGACGCCATCCATAGCTACACAGTGCTTTATACTGTCGAACATGTTTGATCCGCGCACCGAGACAAATCCCACATGGGACACTGATGTACGTGAAGATGTTCTAGACGAATGTGCCAAGCACGGTGGTGTGCTACATATACATGTGGACACGGTTTCACCCACAGGCACCGTCTATGTCAAATGTCCGAGCACAACCACAGCGGTGCTGGCTGTAAATGCGCTGCACGGACGCTGGTTTGCGGGGCGTGTTATTACCGCGGCGTACGTGCCGGTAATCAACTATCACTCCATGTTCCCCGATGCTATCAGCGCAGTCGACTTGATTGCACCGACCCGCAAAAATGCTGACGATTGATGGGCCAAGCGATAGATTTGCAGCATCAGATGCAACTATATAATATATATTGTTATTATTCGTTAAACAAAAATTTTGTAATAATTTTAACAATTTTTTGAAAGACTCCGAATTTGGGTAATGGCCCTCAGTTAGCTAAAAACAAAAAAAAAAACAAAAAACGGGCAAATCAAATTACAATTACATAATTAAATATTTATATATTTAATGTATGCAACATAAAATTAGGCATTCCTAACACGCCAAAAAATTGATTTGGATTTTAATTCTAAACATTTTGCGACATCCCTTTACTTTTCAATTTATATTTTACCCCCTTTCAAAGCATAATTTAGACAGCGCTACATAATATGAAATGCTATGTAAACAACAAACAAAAAATATTTTGTAGACTAAAATATAAAAGAGAAATAAAAATTCGATTCGGTATTTTTTGTGTTTCAGAGCTATATGTCTTTGTTTATCAAACTATTTTTCCCGATTGACTGATTGGTGGGCAACGCAAAAGCCTAAATTCCACTTGCCGATGTGGAAAACCCGAAAATAAAAGTTTCTATGAAACTTTGTTGTTTACCATCCGATCGGCCTCAAACTCATTTTCAGAGATCTTTGTTTAAATTAATATAAATGGGGGTCAAAGACGGCTGGTGAACTATCGCGTTGAAATTAATCTCCAACTTTCTTTATGAAAAATCATTTGAGAACTGTTTTGACACTTTTCGCGGAACCAAGCTTCCTATGAAAACTTATTTTCGAGGCCCGAAATAAAATCCGCTTCAAAAATTAGATCTTTGTATAAATTTATTAGTTTTTTTTCGCAAAATTCAATTCACAATTTAAAAACGCAGTTATCGGAAACGAATGAAATCACGAGAATCTGCCTTTAAGAATCATCGATACAAGAAGCTATCAAAATTATCGAGACATGTGCCATCTTTAGTATGCGCAAGAAATTGGCTGCAGCTGCAGAAAAAAAACCAATTTTGTTAGACCAGAAATTATTTAATTTAGTTAAAATCTGATGTGACTATACGAACATAGACACATATTGTATATTTTATTAGCCGAACGTGTTTTATATGTTTTAATTTCAACAATTGACGCGCGCTTGTGCAGAGAAAAGTGGCATGTGGTTTTCGTTTTTAGTGTGAAACCAGCCACAACACATCGAAAAAATAAAATGGCAAACACATGCACAACTACAACAAATGTAGGTATTATCCAGCTACAACATTGTGCTGGACATGAAAATTCAATAATTCGTGTATTGTGCTATCTAGTTTAAGGTTACATTTTCATAAAAAAAAAATATCCAACTAAAATGATGAAATATTAGTAACATTCACACTTATGAATGAGTGCGCGAGTGCTGAGCAAATGATGACAGTGTTTTATAATCGCGCATTTATAGTGGGCGCGCTCCTCGAACAAACATAAAAACACACACACAGACACGCGCAGGCATACGCATAACACATTCCTGCACCCACGCAGCCCATTTTTGACCTCCCCTACGGAGCAGCAGCATCCCCCATTCCAAGCTCTTAGCCAGCTGATTCACAATCAGGCCTTTTGCAGTGCATGCGGAACTCTTAAAATAAATTCGTTTCACAAATTACAACGGTGTCGTCTAATGACCCTGCCCCACTGACGGCGGCGACGACGTTGTCAGCTAGCAGCGCTGCTTATATAAGTGTACGACAACTGTTTGTGTGTGTGTGAGTGCGTATGCCAAAAAAAAAATGGGTATACCGTAAAAGCAGCCCGAAAGAAGCGAGAAAAAAAAAAACAAATCGCAAACAATTTAAGCACCACAATTAGAAGCCAACAAAAGGAAACAAAACTTTAACCAAATTGTTTTTGTGGTTTTATTTTTTGGCAAGCATCCCCAACGCTGCAACCATTGACGCCGCGCACGCCTTTGGCTTTCAAATTTATTTTAGAGCATTATGCCATCCATCCATTTAGTTTCGCTAACAGCAGGGGCTGGTAACGCGCGCTTAACAGTGGACAGTGCAAAACGTAACGAAGCTAAAAAAAAAAATTAAACAAAAAATGTTTCGAGCAGGAGAAGCGAGAACACAAAGCAACAACAACGGCAACCAATAGCAATTTGCTATTTTTTTTCAATTCCGTTTCATTTGCTTCGCTGTTGGCTTCGCCGGCTTCCATTCACATTCACGAATTTGTTGCTGTTAAGAGTCTTTGTCATATGTGTCTAAATGTAAATTTTTGCTCTCTTATTACGCAATGCAGTTGCAGTCGATAGCGAAAAGCAATCGCCAAATTCGCGTGCTGTTATCGCAATTATCGCGAAACCGTTGTGTGCTTGATCAAATGACCACGGTCAGGGAATCCCTTGGCTCTGGTCCTTAGTGGTTGCTTATCATTCTGCAGGCGTCGTCGTCTCTGTCGGCGTCGCCGTCACATGCTTCCATTAAACGGCCTTTGTGCGTCACAGCGCCGTCGACTTGCTGTACTGAGCGGCTAAAGTGCAATAATTTCGCCGCAGCTTTGCTTCCTGCGGCGACATTTTTGACTTCGATTGTTTGCTTTTGATGTTTTGTTTACAGTTTAATTACTTGTTGTCGCCTCCGCCTTCGCCCCGTTGCGTATTATCGCTTCGCTTGTGAGACGTAGAGGTTGCCGTGATACGTATACGCCGCGATTGGCACGTAGTCTGTCTGTCTGCTTTTGGCCATCTCTTTGACTCGCAGCTCTTAAAGTGAAGGCAAAGTTACCAATTGAGCTCGAGTTCTCTTCGCGCTGAAGACCAAGACAAAAATCGAGTGGGTGAAGAAAAATCAGTTAACAGTTGATAATGGTAAATGGTGCACGGTAAATCGTGAGAAGAAGCTAAATTGAATATTTTGAAAAGGCAGCCTCTAACTTTAGTTAAAAAAAAAAATTCATCAAAAAATATAATAACTGTTAAACACCAAAATGTTTAACTTGGTTTCACGTGTTATCATTTGTAATGATATCCGATATGGAATCTGCCCGACTCCGGCCTGTAAAAATATGTGATAAATTAACGCGAAAATCCTTTGACGTGCACTAATATTTATAGTATTAATAATCATCGCGTTGACGTTGACTTTATCGGCGGAGACTTGAATGGAAGATAAGCGCTCCATAATGAAAACGAGCACAAAGCGCGCCCAGTTAGGTGCTAGGTGCTAGGTGCTAGGTGTTAGCTAGCTGGTTAGTTGGATGTGAGTGCCAGTTAATTAAGAAGCCAGTTTACATATTATTTGCAGCAGATTAACTGACTGGATACTGACGAGCCGAACGGTTATCAAGCCACATTTATAATTACAAGCTAGGCAAAATAAGAAGGTGCAACATTTATGCTATCCGCAACATTTGGGGCCAATGGCGGCCCAATGCCGCTCAGTCCCTCGGCGCAGGCGACGCTCAGCAAACATTTGCCCAAGCTCCAGACAAAGCGTCTCATGCAACAGGCGACAACCAACAAACCACAGACCGCCGATGCCAGCTGCTTAACGGGTGAGTTGTGTAATTATTTGCTAATTGTTAAGCTAATGTGCTAATGTATCACTTATTTACACGCACACACACACAGATTTGTGCAGCAGCGAGAACTTGCCGGAGGTGGAAATATTTTCGTTGCTGGAGGAACAAATACCCAAATATAAAGTACGAAGTGATTTCCTCACCGACTTCTCGGGCTATGCGAATGAGGATTGGTTTGTGCCAGCGCCAGCGCTGACAATCCCAGTCGAGGGTCTCGGCTTGACCAAGGAGCAGACTAGAGAGTGCCTCAACTATTTTCGTGAGTACCTTCTTATCAATACTATTACACATTAAGATAATCAAACAAGTGTCTACGCTATAAATAGCTACAGCGTCATTTTAAATATTTATCAGCGCTTGGTGAAATGCCTATTGTTCAATTCGCAATAGCCCCTATATATATATATGTATATCCCCTTTTCTTCTAGCCCAATTGCTATGGTTATACAATAGCACTTGGGTACACATCAGAAAGAACAAATGGAAATATGTCTGTGCCATCAGTTTCTTTTAAAATCGTCTTTGTGTGATTTGTTTTTAAGTTTTATTCATTTTTAAATATCTAAAAAAATTGTTTATCTGTTTCGCTTGAGTCAAAACGCAATTTTCTTTTATCTACTCGACGCAAATCGGTTAAAAATAAATTCTATATGTATTCCTTAGCTCTTATTGACGCCGAAAAACTTGTGACAAAGTATTATTTATGTGTCTTGGCAGAGTCTGCAAAAAATTCGACATATACATACTTTTTTGTCAATTATACCATGAAAATGAAAGTAGTATTTATCATAGTACAATATTTGTGTTTTAGTTTTAGATTATGTTCACTGCAACATTATATAAAACTAATTTTTAATATTGTATGCGATAATTATTTAAAAAGCGCGCCAAGTGCCGCGTCTTAACACAACACTTGTTCTCAGTGTTGGCAAAAACTCCATGTTATTGCTATTGGCAATTTAAAAAAAAAAGTTATCGTTTAGTTTCTAAAATGTTTTCTTTAATGTGGTCTGTGTTAATATGAAACCTAAACAATTGATTGTTATTCAAGATGAATATGATTTAATATAATTTACCCAATAAATGTCAGCTCAAATATGTCCATTTTAGTGTGAACGTCGCTGGTCACACTGATTTTGCCATTCGCCTCAACGTTTGACATTCACACAGCGCACAGCTGTTTTTGGAGCATTCGCCAGTAGTTGGGGCAATTGTCCGCTTTTGTCATTCCGCGTGCGTCGTCGATGTGTGTGCATTTCAAAAGAGTTTGCCAACCAACGGCGACGCGCCGCTAGAAATGAAAAGTGCCAAAAGAAATTCGTAAGCGTCGTACGCGTTTTCTTGTATATGTAATTTAAAAATATACACACGTTGACATTGGGCCAAAAATTATGTTGCCCTGCTAAAAATGATTCGGCGTGTGGCAGTGAAACTGTGTGCGTGCCCCAAAAATTGTAATTGCCAAAAATAAAATAATTAAACCAAAAGTGAGGCACCGAGCCAGCATAAACAACTGAAAATCATAAATACAGCACTTGCTATATTTGTGTTATTTATTTGTGCAAAAACACAAGCTAAACGAAACATTCGGTATTTCTCCAAGTGCTCCGACTGCCGACTGGCGTCATGCAACTGAATTTATTTTTAGGACAACTATACGCACACAGCAACAATAACTGAGAGCTTTGTGAATTATGAAGAGGCGAATTTGTTGCTTGTGTGTGTAACAAATTCAATGAATGGGGTCGAAATTCTCTGTGAGTCAGTGTAGAAGTTGTAATTCATACCAGGGCATGGGCAGGGCTTTCGTCTGTTAGCTCAATTCGCTTCGAGTTGTACTTCTGGATGCCATTCAACGTTTCCATTGGCCTGCTGTCGTTTACATAATCGTTTTTCCATGTGCCGCTATTCTGTCTCCGTCTACAGCTGATAAGCTGAAGCGCTCAACGAAATCGTTGTCTATCGGAATTTACCGTATGTCCGTCAAAAGACGAGCACAGCTGTTTGGTTCGCTCGTTCATTTGTTTGTCCATCGCGTCTTGCGTGGCTTTTGTAATTTTGCTATTTACCGTTGCGCACTTGAAATGCCGCTTATCCAGTTCCAGATCTTGCGGCCGGCCTGCCGGCCCGTCCGGTCGCTTCTGGCTAGCTGATTAATAATTATCAGCAATATTGCTGCACTGCTCTTCCGTGTATCGCATCAATCAGACGCTCTTGTCACCTGTTCGTGTGCGTTTATCTTTGCGTTAAACTGCAAAAACGCGTTCCGTTGGTTACTCATCAAGAGAATATAAACCGCAATGCAAGTCGTTGTTGTTAGCTATTAGGCACGTTAAATTGCCGATCATTTCCCCCAGACCTAGATTGTCGGCTATTTTATTGGTGTTAAGCTGCCGGCGGACAACGGCAAACAATGCGCAAAGTGGCAAAAATTTGTGTCAGGTGTGTGTGTGTGTTTATGCTTGGGGTGTATAATACGGATTATGTCCGTGGCAGCCGCGAACACCTCTTTGTCAAACACAAATAAATGACGGGTAACGAAGTGACACACTTTAATTACGTCATTTCACAACACTAAGAGTCAAGCGAATGTCCGGAGAGCCAACGGTCTGCTATGTTGTTTGTGCTCTAGTCTGTGTCACTGGCCTATTGATTAGGACATTCACATAGCGGGCCGCAATTGGTCGCAATTTAGCCACGTAGTGGATCATGGATAGGAGCATAAATTGTTGCATATGTTATTAGTCAACACATATGTACATATGTATGTACTTATCCCCCACTGAACTTCCTTATTGGTGTTGGGTAGCGCTTGTCGATGCAGTGCTCCTTTTGCCGATTGCATTCGGCTTTGCTACAGTTTGACCATAAGTAGAAGTATTTAATTGCGGCTAACTTTTGCAAATAATTAATTACCTACAACTTTTTGTGAAAGTTGATGTGAACCAAAAACATCAAAATTACAACGTTTGTCTTATTTAGCTGCTGCTTATTGCCGATTTCATTTCATTTTCGCGTGTGAGCGATTGATTGGCATTTTTTATTTTTTTCTTTTATTTTGATATTTGCTTTTTTTTATTAGCGTATATTGTGTGTGTTTTTTGTTATTTATTCAGCTGTCTTTACATAATTGCAGCGCCGCCGGGCGTATAGTTTGTCAATCAGCCAATTAGCCCATCAACCTAGCCGATTCTTAAGCCTCTTGAAAATGTTGCTTTATGCTTTATTATCAATGCGATAACGAAACTTACATTTACCCACTAATGTCCCCTCCGTATGACTGCGTGTGTGCCCCTTAATAGTCGAGGCTTACCTTTAAAGTCTGATTCATAAAGTTGTACACATATATAAATTTCATTCGAGGGCTGTACGCCTTTAGCATGTCGATGAACCTTATGCAAGCTTCTCCGCAATTTGTGATGCTTTTCGATATACTCTTCTTTCGGTATGCTCTCTCAGTATCTGTTGGTAGTGTTGTACAATGTTAAATTCTAAAAAATAGTTTTTGTTTTCTATCAATTCAAATATCATTCCTAGCATTAATTTTTTCTTAAGCATATGTAGCTTACATATTTGTTTTCTACATTTCATTTTGTAATTTGTAGGGTATTCAAAGAGTTAAAAGCAGCTCTTGCTTGTGCGTTGATTCATTTGAGTTTTAAGTGTCTCGTGATTGCCTTACAAATTTTAATATTAATGTATGTGACGTTCCGAGACTATTGACGAGGTACTTAAACATAGCTAATTAAATTCTTTCGCTTAAGTTTTTGTTCATCTTTTTATTATATTTAATTGAGGTGAGTAGGTTTTGGATAGAAGTATTTTTTTAAAGTAGGCAAAAAAAACGAATATTGTGTTTTTGGGTTAAATACAGTCAGTTTATTGTTACATTAGAATTGAAACTTTGATGACGTTCCTAAAATGTTGAAAATGTTGTAGCCCAAATTGCTCGAAACAAAAATATTGGTCTTACATACCTTTTTCTTTATAAAGACAAAAAATGGAAGTTCATGTAGGATGTTACATACCTTTTCCCTTTAAAGACAAACTACTTCTCATTTTAATAGTTGGCGTTACGAAGAGTTAGCCGTGGACTGTGATTTGTTTAGCTTGAATTTTTCATTTGTGCTGGTCATCTCTCACCTGAGCAGTTTATTTGGCACAAGCTAACGGCTGTTTGTTTCTAGCTCAGCTCAATTTTCTTTCACTCGCCAGACCATAAATTATGATCTGATAGTTATTAGGCGCAGCTTCAGCCTTCAGCACTTGCTCTCAACTTAATGTTGCATCATTTCCCCTTAGCTGCGGACATGCTACATTCCAATGTCCAAACCCACGTTCACCTGGTCATTATTACATCCTCTGCTCTGCTTAGATCTGTTCTACGCCGCAGCCCACACAGGAGGAAAGTGCTGGGCAACGTGTTCGCTGACATGTGGCCATGGCAAGGGGAAAGGCGCTTCTTTTATGCTGGCTAATTTGTAAACTTGTTTTGTTGCTCGACATTTTCCTAGTCGCCAACTCTAACCATTTCCCAGGGCCGGACTGCATTCCATTTAGTTAGTCAGTCGGTCCACTCTTGTGTGTGAAGTTGAGTTTTTCATTATTTCGGTTAGGGTTTTGAAATATTTTCCACGCGCATTGTATGTTAATGTGGCAAACTGAAGTGGCAAGAAGGTTGTGTTATGTATATGAAATTCGTAATATAATGATAGACATTGCAAAAAAAAAAAATGCATATTCGACTTCGCAGAAAGTGTTTAGATAAACAAAAATAGACCATCGATAAGTGTGGTGTCCGGTGAGACAATAAAGATAACGTGCTTTTGATTAGTGAGTCAACTTGACATAATGCGAGACTATAACTAAATGCGCATTAATTATTGGTAGGCGGAAGGAGACGGACTGCGTTTACCAACACTGGCTGCGGCGCAGCCAGGACTCAGACACAACTCTTTTGCATTCAAGTTGTGTGCGAAACACTGACATTTGGGTAGGGTCATATGCGTTTGCCAACACTGGCTGCGGCGCAGTGCTGCCACCGTGCCAGGCTCTTTTGTCGATTTTGACAAACGTGACAACTCACACACAACTCTTTGACAGGCCAAAATAAATAGCTGCATTCAAATTCTCGGTGAATTGTTAATTGTGTGCAAAAATAAAAGCTAACCAATGAGCAAATCTTGTGTTAAACATAAACCAAACAATGCGCTTGCTCCCTAAACCAACGCCAATCAGAACAATAAAATGTCACTACTCAACAACAACAACAACAACAACGCTCTAAAGAGCAAGAATCTAGACAAAAAACAAGACAAAGAACAACCACATTATGTGAAGCTGGCAGCAATGGCTCCAGTGCTGCCCATCATCAACGAAATGGTGCTGGAACCGGAAGACCCTGATGACTATCAGCAGAACTTCGCCGCTGGGCTCGAACCGGAGCTGGACTTGCTGAACAGCACTTCGCATTTGGCAAACAGCGCCAGCAGCGGCTCCCTGTCCTCGTTGATGTCCAACTGCAGCTCCAGCAGCTCCATGTGGACGACAACGTCGACGTCGGCGGAGTCGGTCGAGACAATCAGCAAGCAGCCGTCCAATGCGAGCAAACACTTTGAGAACACATACAAGCTGCTCGGCAAGCAGCTGGAGAGCAATTGCCAGCGCACCGCGGACAAGCTGCAGCAGCTGGACAAACAGCTCGACAGCCTGGACAGTCTGAGCGGCTCCTGTGCCTCGATGTCCGCCATTGTCAATGGCACAGAGCCGGCGCCCACGCGCCTCGAGCTTGAACTGGAGGCCGTCGAGCGTATGCGCGTCATTGTCCAGCAAATGAAGAGCACGCCCAAGGAGGCGACAGCGAACGCCTCCGCTCCGCTGCTGGCGCTGCTGCACGACTTTGCGGCCAAGGGCCAGCCTCAGTCCAAGGACGTCAGCAGCACACCCTGCACCCCACTTCCCAGTCCCATAACGGGCGCCCTGCCTGCGGATGGGCCCAACTTTGAGCTGCCCGCCGAGCTGCTGCAAACGGCCAGCTCCTGGGAGCTCATGTACTACGCCTCCAAGAATGTCGATGGCCAGAATTGTCTCAAAGTTGTGCGCAGTCTGTTGACTAACAAAGGTAAGATTTAACTAATCCTTCCCATGCCACAACATTTTTTTTGGCTTAAACTAAGTCGCAAACCTGGTTTTTACGTCCATGAAAGATGAGAAATATATTTAATTAGTATTCAATTATTTGACTACTGCGCTAATTTTAATTAATTAATTTAATTTTCTCTAACTAAATTTGGCATCTACGAAATATGGGGCCCAAATTTGTATGTTAAACCAAACCAAAAAGTTGTTTTTGCTTTGTTTCATAGTAAAAACTAAATGACTAACTAGCTAAGTCCTACCGCTTAAAATTGTGGACACTTGGCTTAGATCGACCTTTAAGAAAAAACTTGGTTATCAGGTGAAGTGCAGCGGAGCCCGCGTCCCGCTGCAGTTGCCTGTGCAAAAGCCCCTCGAGTTAACTTATCTTATCGCTTCTTTCTTTATTTGCTGATCGATTAATGTTTTCTGCATTTAATTTTAGTTTTTTACGATTTTATTTGTTCTTGCTTTGTGTTGTGGTCGACGTGTGAACAAGCACGACAGCAGTTTTTCGCATTTCTTTTTTATCTCTAATTCCCATTTGTTTGCAAAACTTCAGACTTTGTGTTTGTTTTTGTTCTGCTTCATTCAATAAATCCCGCCGAAGGCTTGTTGATATTTGCACAAATCGTTATCGATTTGTATATATATATATATATATGTAAATAACAGCTTTTAGCAAGTTAATTTGAAAAACTATTAATGCTCCGACCAAATCCCCGTTGCAAAGCACATGATCTCATCCTATTAATCGCACTCTAAGCTTTTTGCTGCGTTTTTTTCAACTTTTTGCCCTTATCATGACTTGCTGATTATCTCGGCTAATGTTCAAGCCAAGCTGCAGATTGTTTAAAGTTTGTTTTTTTTTATCTATAAGCAACGCCACAAAGCCCTTAGTTTGACATTTGCAATGGACAACAAATTCAAGACTAAAGTCATTAAATGAATAGTTTAATGACCGATTGTAATTAACGGAATATTACCTGTCATTTTATTTGCCGTAAAACGTTTTTCTAGTTATGTTAAGAAAAAAACGAGTGTGTAGCACATTTGAAAAATGATGTGAGGAACTGTTCCCATGACAATTATTTTGGGGCTAGTCTGCACTCGCCAGGTCCGAAGAATATTATTCAAACTCTTCTATAAAAACATAGACGAAAACTAATTGTGTTTTCACGTTTTATTTTCGTATCCACGGCACGTGTTTAAAAGTATTTGGCAGATTAGCTGAACTCGGAACTTGTGGGCAAACCCAACAATTCTAAAAACTCGCACATTTTGGGCTCAATTTCTAAAACTTACCTGCATCTCGTTGGGCTTGTGTGCCTAGTTTTCCAGGGAACTTTATTATCCTAATACACGGAAATTTACCCGCGACGAGTTCCTAAATCTATTTATGAATGGGATTAGGTTTAGGTAGACCGATGCCGGGTTTTTCAATAAAAATAGGATATGAAAAATGATATATGACAAATAAATAAATAATTGCAGCTTATTGTTATTTTAATGCAGTTTCAAATATCCTGAATTCAGGTCTGTTTTTTAAAGCTCAAATCTTATTACCAAATAAAAAGCATTGTAATAAAATAGATTTTCATAGAACTTAATTTACGACCGATAGTTCAGACGGACATGTCTATATTAATCTCGACGGTTAATGCTTATTTAAAACCAAATTACTTAATGGGGACGTAGAAGTCTCCCTATATCCGTTAAACATTTCATAAAAAATACCCTCTTAAAGGGTATGTAATAGTTCATATTAGTTCTAATACCTCTCCAAGGGTATGTGAGCGATAGATTTGTTTACGCTGGCAATGCTATCAGGTTTCTCTCACTCTCTGTCTGGTGGATGACAACTTAACAGAATAGCCGCAGTTTGTACATAACAGAGCAATAACAGCGCATTGGTTGCCTCTCTTTCGGTGTGGATGTCATCTTTGGTGGTGGATTCCAATGCAGCAACAAGACCCACAGAAAATAAAATTCACTCTGAGCGTTCGTCGTGTATCTGCTAATCCGCAAATTACACAATTCGTGCCAATTGTAATGCTTAAAAGACTAGAAAGTATTGTCAAAATGTGAACGATAATTTCAATCAGTGCTCTGTTATATTTTCATAAATAAAAATCAAACAAGAGAAGCGCGCTGTTTCGATAAAAATTGCGAAGAAAAAACGTAACCCTCCTCTGGGCCGTCTAAAAACAAGAACAACAACATTTATACTCAAATTGCGTGCTTGTGTATTGCGAAGCGTCTGTCTCTGTGTGTGTGTGTGTGTGTGCGTCAATCTGTTCGACTACGTTGCTCCGTCACGAGTTTGGAGCGCCGTTTGCCCGTCTGGCGTTTTTTTTTTGTATACTTTAGAATTCAGTTGGAAGTTTTAGCATTCGTTAATGTCTCACAACCTTTGGACTGGCCACAGCCTTGTGGCTATTGTGATTACCAACTGTGTTGTTGTTGCTGCTGCCCAGTGAAGTGAAACCCTCGTGAAGTTCGCTGCCGAAAGTAGCTAAAAACCAATCTGTGTGGATATTTTTAACACGTGAGTTTTGGCCATCAGCGTATATTTATTACTTGTATTTCCCGTAGAACCGGCAGCTGTTGTTGCATTAATTTTCACAAAACATTCATGCTGCTCTTCCTTTCACTCGCGCTGTCTTAGGGAAAACGCCTTTTACTTCCAAGCTGAGCGTTGCAGCCTGCAGTTGCCTGCTGCGCTGCCGCTGCTCTGCCACTGCTCGTTCCTCTCTCTTATTCCGCTCTGCTGTTAGTTTATGTGTGTACGTCGCGTTTGCAAGAAGTGGCTTTGAAGTTGAGAGTTTTCAAGTTGCGCTCATGGCTATAAATATACATAAGTAATTCATAAATCTGGTTTAAAGTTCAAGCTAGGTTTTCATATTGAAACCGTTGCGCAAAAACGATATTTTGCGCACATTCAACGTGCGCTGAGTGGGTGGCAGAGAGGCCAAAGAGCGAGAGAGCGCGCGTGAGCGAAAGCAATTCTCATGACAGACTCAGTTTCTCTGGTGACTTCAGACAATTCACATTAATTTAGTAATTCATTTAAGTGTTTCGTCTGTTATTGACAATGCGGTTGCAGCTCAAACTATAAAGAAAGAAAAAAATTATAAAAATAAAAAACTCATGTGACATATGGAGGGACAAACGAATGCAACCCCAAAATGCCGCTTAACTTCTAGACTCACAAAACAGGCAACAACAAGAATAACATCAACCACCAGCAGAAAAACCAAGTGCCTTGGCAGCAAAATTTAAAATGAGACTGTTTATTACATAATACGAAACAGAAGCAAAGCTAAAAAAGAACGCAACAGATTTAAATATTTTCAAACAGAAATTCGGATAATGTTAAAGCTGCATCGTAATTAAAAGTATTAATAAGAATATCAATAAAGACTAATTTCGGCCATGACACACGTAAACAATGGCGAAGGAGCCGCAACGACAGACACGGCGATAGGGTGGGAATTGCGGTCTGCTGTCAATGTGGCGCCTGCTGCCGGCGACAGTGTGCATCGATTTTTAGCCACTGAGAGCAACAACAGCACTCATGTGGATGCTGTTGATGCAACAGCAAAGAACTGCCTAGAGGAATGCTCGTTTGTTGCGTGCCAAACGAGAGCGGCGAGCGATTGGCACGATAACTTTTGCATCACTGAAGATGAACTTGAGTACGAGGATGAACTCGAGCTCTCAGCAGGTGGTAGTGCAACAACAGCATCGACGTCAGCAGCGACGCCAGCGCATGAGTATGGTCTGCTGGGCTTTGGGTTGGGAGAGCGAGAGCAGCAGAATGAACAATTGCTCATGGAAGGTATTCTTGCTTTGGTATTTTTTTAAATTACATAACGATCCTGCAGCCCTATCAGTTATTGATTTTGCATCCCTGGTAATTGATGCACAGATTAAATGTTAATTCAATGACCATTGTTAAAGTATTTAATCATAAATTTAACTTATTTTTATTGCGACTCAAATGTTATCTAATAAGTTTAATTGCTTCGCAGTTCTATGTGGTAACCGTGTTAGCCAGATGACTCGTGCCTACGATGACATTGAAGCCGTGACGCGTCTGTTAGAAGAGAAGGAGAAGGATTTGGAGCTGACGGTGCAAATTGGAAAGGAGCTGCTCACGCAAAATAATGCATTAGAAGCGCGTGTTAGTGATCTGGAGACAGATCTAAAGTCGTCCAACGATGACCGCGCCCAGCTGCTCCACGAGCTGCACAAGAAGAATGAACTAATTTCGGTGCTAACCAACGACGCGGACGATGGAACTGATGCGGGCAAGTAGCTTAGCTGACAAGTTGATAAGTCATATAAATAAAGACTGAACTTTTTTGGTAACATATAGACACGCCTACCATGTCCAAATCAATAACCCTGGACCTGCTGCAGAAGAAGGTGAACTCATTGCTGGATGAGAATAAGTCACTTAAAAGCGAGGCCACGCAGCTGGCCCACCAGACGGATGAGGTGGAGGAGCACGAGCGGCGGCTGATGGCGGATATAAGTGCCCAGCTGAACGATGCCAATTCGCAGTATGACAATATCAGTTTGGAGCTGGAGCGACAGCGCGAGGAGAACCGATTGCAGCACGAACAGATTGTCAGCCTGACGGCTCGCTTGGCGGAGGCCGAGATGCGTCTGCATCAGTTGACGCAGGACAACGACGAGCATCTGTCGCTGCTGCATGTTACCAAGGAGAATCAAAATGCGCTCGCCCTCGAGCTGGTGGAGTTCAAGCAGCGCTATGAAGAGGTGCTCGCCCTGCTGCACTCTGCCCAGGATCAGCTGAAGCAGCAACGCAAGCGTTCGCAGCCGCAGGCCCGCAGCTCGTTCTTGGGCGGCCTGGGCACGAACGGTGCAGCTGCTGCTGTCGCCGTCGAGTCGCTGCAGTCGGAACTGATGGAGTCTTCGCTGTACTCGGAGAACAGCCTGGACTCCGGCATTTCGGGTGATAGCCAGCGCTGTGCGGACCGCATTAGTCGCATGATGTCGCAGCTGCCGGCTGGCATGGCGGCCAGTCTTGGCTCCAGCAGCATATACGGGCCGCCGCCATACCAGCGGGTCTTCGACACGGTGCGTTGCGCCACCAAGAGCGGCAACTACATGGACAGTGGCAATGTGTCCATGACTCAGCTGGGCGCCATGTCCATGAGCAGTGCCTCCGGGCCGCGCATGGCCTCAACGGCCTACCCGGCGGGCTCCTATTATCGCGGTGCCAGCGGCGGCAGCAGCAACTCGCTGGGCCTGAAGACGCTCTCAAGTGAAAGCCTTAACTCGCAGTCGGACGACGGATATCCGGCGCAGCCATCAGGTGTGCCTGGCGCCCCCGGTGCCAAGGAGCTGGAGGCGGCTCTCAAGCGTCTCACGCCCGCCGAGGTGTTGGCTCGTCGTGCTATGCTCTCGTATGCGCCTGTCGGGACCTACAATTACGACGAGCCCACGCACGGACGAAGCGGCGTTGCGGCGGGCGGACAAGCTGCTGGCCTAACGTTGCCCATGGGTGTGCGCACGCCGGACAGCATCATGTCCACGGGATCGGGCTCGTCTGGCCTAACGACGCACCAGTGGCGTCTTCCAGAGAAACTGCAGATTGTGAAACCCATGGAGGGCTCGCAGACGTTGCATCACTGGTCGCGTCTGGCCACGCCCACGCTCAGCGGTCTGCTGGAGGAGCGTCCGGGCGTGACCATACGCGGCGGGCGTGGCCTCGACGATCTGGGCATGCAGGTGTACACGCTGTCCGACGTGGAGGAGGACGTCAGCGATGAGCTGGGCCTGGGCAAGCAGTTCGAGGCGCCTGGCTGCACCTACACCTACACGAACAGCATGGTCATGCATCCGGATGATGGTTTCGTCAACGACTTGTCCTTCCTCTCCCAGTCGCAGATGTCCTCTCGCATGGCCTCCACATCGACATCCAGACAGCCAAGGTAGGACTTCTGATATTTATATTTTTGCATATGGTTAATTGGATTTCTGTTCGTCCTGAAATAGTTGTCCGGCCACGCCTCGCGCCGGAATGTCGCGCAAGAATTCCTGCTCCACGTTTTCGGTCAACTTGGGCCTGGCTGGCATGTTGAATGAACGCGGCATCAAGGCGGTCACGCCCAGCGCACTTAATACGCCCGCCGGGCCTAACTTCTCGCCGACAGTGACACCCTGCAACAGTCCGGAGGGATCGCCGCCGCGTGCCCAGTCGCCGGAGCCGTTGTTTGGACTCTTGTCCTCGGGCGCCGATTTGATCAAACGCAAATTGGTGGGTCCCAGTGATCTGCAGCGACAGCGCAGTCTGAGCAAGCAGCAGCACCAGCAGAAGGTGATGCTGTCGCACCTGGAGCGACGGGCTCTGCGCTCGCTCAATCTGATCGAGAAGGTGGAGAGCATCGGCCTGGAGAACATTATCAGCGCACAACGCGGCCTTGGCACGGGCATCGCCAATCGCAGCAGTTCCCCGCTTTCGCAAATCAGCGGCAGCAGCGGCGGCGGCGACAGCCTCCAGAGTTTGCACACCAGCAGCAACAGCATCGTGGACGACATACACTTTGATCGCGCACAAATCAAGGGCGTGCTGCATCGCGGCCTGAAATCGCCGACGCCAGCAGCTACATCGACGGCGGCCACAAGCATGGCCGCCAGCAGTGCCAGCACCAGCAGCGCCTACAACAGCGAGGACAGCGATGACCAGGGTATTGTGCTGCAGCGGAAGCCTAATCTAAGCTCGGCGGCCGCGGCGCCAACTGCAAAAATGGCAAATCCCGCAGCAGCGGCAGGGGATGCCTCGGCGTCGGCCAGCGAAACACGCCTCAAGCAGATGCAGCGCCAAAAGTCGCGACGAAACCTTAAGAACGGCATGGCCGTGCAGCGACCCGATCTGGGCACCATTGCGGGTAGCGGGTCCTCCTCCGGAGGCGGTGTCAGGCGTGTAAGATCAGATCTTGGCAAGGTCTCCGACAGCAGCAGCAGCGGAGCAGGTGCACCCACAACTGACGCCAAGAGCAGCGACAGTGAGTCGAAGACGACGGCTTCACAGAGCATCACGCAGGCCTTTGTGGGTTCGGTTAGTTCCTTGTTGTTTGGCCGCAAGGGAGGCTGGCTGTAAACACACACACAGATACACACACAAACACACACACAGATACACATTTACACATACTACATATACGTATGCAAGAAAGCTCTTTAAAGATAAACGCGCCTGACTATGATTTGATTAGGCAAGCGAAATAATTCTAATTCGCAGCAAAGCTACGCAAAAAGGGTTCTTAGTTAGTCGCCGCTGCCGCCGCCGCTGCCGCCGCCGCTGCCGCCATTTTGTTGATGACTGTCATCGTCGATGTCGATGTTATGCAACACTGGCCACGCCCGCTGTCCTTAGTGTTTGTAGCTGTGATTTGTAAATACTTGTAGTAAAATGTTTAAATTTAGTAGTTTATTATTAATTAATTAAACAGAAACCCAGCATATCTTAGTACGGTCAGCAAGATTAACTATATATATATATATTATTTTTTGCCAATTTTGTATTTATTTTCATATATGTGTTTACTTACGATGCATAGAATATTAATATTTTATTTTCTCGATAATTCACTTGTTTCGCTTGTGCAACGGCGGTCAATTTGAAACTAAGTGCAACTGCAACGGCAACAGAAACCCAGCATATCTTAGTACGGTCAGCAAGATTAACTATATATATATATATTATTTTTTGCCAATTTTGTATTTATTTTCATATATGTGTTTACTTACGATGCATAGAATATTAATATTTTATTTTCTCGATAATTATCTGTATAAACTGAAGAACGTGCGAAAAGCAAATGTACATAAGAAAATTCATTGAAAGTGGATTCGCAAAAAGGTATATATATTTTTTTACACATGTATATATATAGTTTACGTTTTTGCTTTCCACTTGCCGACTCTTACGTACATATATCACAAAATTGAACACTGTCTTTTTACTTTTAACATATTCGGTGCTTTTTGTGCAGCCATACAAAAAAAAAAAGGATGTCCCAAAACAATTTGTTTCTAGTCTTTTTTACTTACGACTCTGTTCTCTCGTTTGGCTATGCTCTTACATTTTTCTCGATGCATAGCTTCTAAATGCAGTGCTTTAAACAGGGTGTAATATAAACATTTACTTACTTTAATATTCTAGTTTTACTTTTGAACAACAAAGAAAACAAAGACTTTATTTTGTTTTGCGCCGTTAGCTAATTAAGCACATTCGGAGAACACATGTTACTAGATCACCTTTGGCTAACTGCGCTTGCGTTCTGTTAATGGATTTTCTATTACAAATTTGGAATATTTTTTGTATTATTTGGATACTTTGATTTTGGAGACATGCATATATCACGAATGAAATTATAATCAAGAGCAACATATATTGACGAAATTGTACGCGCTTTGAAAATTTAGTTTTATAGTTATAAGAAATTATGTACACAAAAAAAAACAAAAACAATAACAAAAACGGCATCAGAGCTAAATCTGATGTGCTCGCAAAAAACCAATGTAAAAGTTTTTAGTTTTAATTATTATCAAAATATTTATTTACTTATGCAAAAATAAAGAGAACATCGTTAAATAATAATTGATTATGGTTTAACTCTTTCTCCGAGTCCCTTCCACTCTAAATATCTCGTCAAAAGGCTTTGACTGCCAAACTTATCCTAATTACCAGGGACCTGGGGACACTAGATACTCCAGATCTCCAGAGAAACTCGTCCAGTGTCTTCATTAAAGCGGGCGAAGACTAAAATGGTTAATACAGATATTCATGAGTATATGTACCAAGTTTCAAGTTTCTCATTGCAGTATGCAAACAAAATCAATTGAATTCTATAGAATATGTTAATTTTTTATATATCGTTTTTATTCCATTGTAATGACTAACATTTTAAAAAATTACAATTCAATATTGGATAAATTAATTGTAAGCATATAATTTTATAATTTCTGCTTTATCCTGACTATAATTTGTTAAATTTGTTATAAGGTTGTTTCATTATCTTTCATGTTCATTTTCTCAATTTTCTTCAAAGTGTTTTTTTTTATATTTTGCATTTTGCGTTTTGCTGTGTTGTTTTGTGTATTTGTATTGCAACTGCTGCATATGTATATCGTTTAAATGTATGTAGTCATTAATGTAAAAATTGTATGTACTGCAGCTTTTGAATAATGCATATTGTATTTGATTTAATAATATAAATATAGTTAGCCAGCGGAGCTTAGTATGTTACAGAGAGAGAGTAAAGGAAAAGCGTATAGGACCATAACCATTCCATTAAGCACATCAAAAAAAGAGTTCGCAATATAAAAATCCGAGTACGTAAATAGTTTACAGCAATAAAAGATAAAACTTTGATCGACTTAATTTAATTCTAGGCTATGTATTCTTCTTTAGATTCACTTTCGATTCTAACTCTCAGGCAGATTTTAGAATATTTTAGTTCTCACTATATGATGAGTCGGATGGGCGCAACTAAACTAACCATGCGATTAAGTACATCATTTGCAGATCGGTTAGCTGTAAGCAGATCCTGCGAAGTTTCAACTTGCATTATCTTAAACTCCATATCCATATCTGTCTGTTTATATATATGTATATCTGTCTACGCCGAGTCGTGTTGCTAAACGTGTTGTAGAACTTGTATTTTCTTTAATTTTAATTTATTGTTGTATTTGCTTTTGGCTATATTGCAATAAAATATTTATTATTATTGCCTATGGTGCCTGACCTTTGATAGTTTGTTCATTTTATTTGGATTTGCTTTTGTTTTTTTGCTTTTTTGCTTTTTTGTTTTTTGTTGGATGGGTACATAATCTACTATTACAGATATTAATAATGTTACTTTTACTATATTGCCCGGCTACAACCATTGAATGGGTATTATATGGGCGTGTTGTTTTCTTGTGGGTTTGTGAAATTAAGCAAAAATAAATTACATTAATTAATACATACAGTAAATACAATTTGATGCCAATACAAGAATTTGTTTATAATTACTGGGCTGCGATCAATATTTGTTGCGATTAATTCTCATTTATAAACGGGTTGATGAATTTGCAACTAAACAGTTTTACAGTTGGTTGGTTTTTTTTTTTAGCTTGGGTTGCCTTTTGTTTTTCATATTTATTATTACTTGTTTGTTTTTTTTTTTTTGAAAAAATGAACACTTTTTATCTGGTGGGAATATACATATGGTTTTGGAAATCTATTGCACAGAACATGAATTTTTGTGGCCATTTTTGTGCTTTAGCCGCGCTTTCGGCTTGTATCTTTCCAAAAATGACAGTTGCTTGGCATTGATGGCGCCGCGTCGCTTACTATTAAAAATAACAATTGGTTCAAATGTGAATAAGATCGTGTTCAATATATATTGATTACTCACTCTCTAATCATTTCAACAGCCGCTTCATATTTCAAGCCTAATTCGATGAGTGCAAGTGCAACCAAAACGGGGGCACGTCCCAGACCAGCCACACAGTGCACGGCAACGCAAGCCTCGGGATTCTGCTGGTATCTGCGATAAGAAAGAAGATAAGTATTTGGATAAGATACAAGATAACACAACATAATACTTGAGGTTGTAGTACAAATTTGTCACATTTATTGTGATAAAAACAGAAAATGCTTGCCTTAATTGTTACAAAGCAACGAGAGGCTACGCTTACCGACAAGTTTCATTATCAACGAATGCAGTATTATTAAAAATTGCTGCTGCTTCGCTTGTATCTGTTTCATTTGCAGTTAGGGGCATTGTATCTGTATCTGTAGCTGTGCCTGTAGCTGTTGTTGCTGCTGCCGAGAGACTGGCTCGGGTTGTGGCTGCTGTCATTGGAGCTGTTTTTGGTATGTGTCTGAGCGAGAAACGCTTATGTTTGTAGTAGGATAGTGTGGCGCTTGAGGACTTTCTAAAGCTAGCCAGTGGATAATAGCACACAAACCAAGAAACGAAACGGAGTACATACATTTATATATATATATACAAGTATATATATATATATATAGAGGATTTAAATTGAATTAAATGGATTATCGAGAGTGAGGGGAGGAAACAAAAGGCGTCTAGAGAAAGCTAAATATCGTAATAGTTTACAAATAATATATACATATGTTTGTATACAACTAAAAAGAAAGGATAAAAGTATGTCATATGATGGATATACAAAGATATATCAGCGACGACTACGGGCTAATTGGTTATGGTGCAAATATCATTTTATATACATTATGTTTATGTACATTTTGCTTTTTTTTTCGGGAGTTGTTTTTTGTATGAGGTTGAAGGCGCGCAGCTCTTGAAATGTTGTTAGCAGCTCAGTTTTGAAGGCTCTTCAATGATTTTAGCAATCGCATTTATGTTCAGCTCATTTTGTCAGTGTACAAAGCAACAAATAATAATAATACTGAATTGAATTGATAAAAATCAACTTTGGTAACGCTTCGCATGTGAATAATTATTTTTTTGCAAATGAGTCCTAATTACGAATTTGAATTTGACGAGCTCACAGTATCTAACCAAACCATTTATATGACTCCCAATTCTTTTTACGAAAGACCCAAACTAATTTAAGTATTCAAAAAGAAAATTGTAAGCAAGTTGATAGCCTTTCATGTACATATTTTCTTCAAGTACTGAAATCTGTCCTATGTTAGCTATATAATATACAAGTCCCATTCGGCCTGTTCCGATATATATACATCCTACAAAAGAACAACGAACCTATGTAAAGTTTCAAGACGAAAGCTTTCAAATTAAGGGATGAGTTCTCATAGAAAAACGCAGACGGACATGGCTATATCAAATCGGATCTAGAATATATATACTTTATTGGGTCGGGAAGATGTCTGCTTCTATTCAATTGACAAACTATAATACTCTATACAAGCGTATATAAAATGCGCTTCGGTTTATGAGAATGACAAATTTGAAGATCATATAAAGTGCTTGGTTCGATACCTCTCGCTTTTCATATTGCCAGCATATTGAAAACTGCAAACAGTATGTGAAATAAACGTGTGTGTATAATTCAAAAATATGATTTCGGCTTATTTGACAAATGACAGTCGAGATTTCAAATAGAGATTGAGCTTACATATAGGGGGGGGGGGGGGGGGCCAATATGGGCATTACTTACTTGTCCTTCAAAACCTCAAACCATTCGTCAACGACCTGCTGCGGCGGAAAGGTGCCGTCGTCAAAGGCCAGATCCTTGACGGTTATGCCTTGGGCCTCCAGCTCATCCGTATTGTAGCTGGGCTCGCACACACGCACCACAGTGTTAACATTGTTCTTTTTAAGCTCCTGCAGGGCAAAAAAAAAAACAGAACGTTTAGTTATTTTCGACAATCGATGGGGTGTATTTGGGACTCACCATTATATAGTGATTAATTGTTATGTCTGATGGTCGATCGGTGATTAGGAACTTCATGCCCTTATACTCAATAAGAGCAGGCGCGGGGCGCAGATCTTTTTGACGCATTGTGATGCTTAACTTAATTAGCTTTACGAATCAGATATACTTATAGCTTGTATAATTACAAAATTGTTGAATTTCTCCTTAAATAATATATTAATCGCTCCTAAATTGTTTTCTTTGTTTATTGTTGGGACTTTGTTACAATATGAATAATAATGATGTATTTGGTTTTTGAATTTTCTGCGCAAAATATATTTTTTGATTCGACTTTGGGAAGTTACTCGATTTTATTTTGTTTTGAAAATTCAGCGAAGTGCTTTAGATGCTTGAAACTTGTTGTAAAAAAATATATATAAATATAATAAGATTTTCTTGTAGGCTTTCAAATTCTACACTAAGCACACAGAACAAGACAATTGTTTAAGTATAAATAAATAGCTCAGTAATTAAGTACAATTTTGGATTGCTACAATTTTGCGTGTGTCCCAACCCAAAGACGCCTATTAAAAATCCCTGTTAATTTCGCAACTGAAGCGATTCTATCTCAAACTTATTTATTTCGAGTGCAGTTTCTGCGCCTCTCCAATTAATTTTCGTTGTGGCCGCCCTACTACTTTTCGATTATTCTCCTCGTGATATGAACTTCGTTCAGAGACTCTCTCTATCCACAATCTGTCACTATCGCAGCTGTCCACGTTTCGAATCTGATTTGGGGTCCGTCGACTTCCGGGCAGGTGACAGCGTTGTCTCCGGCTATCACGGCCTTCTTTGCGTTTTGGTAACCTGCACGAAAAAACAACCATAGGTGAATAAGCAATTAAAACAAATATCGATAGCGATTGATTAGAAGCTGCCCCCACGGCAACAAGTCACAGTCATTAGTTGTTCGAAATGTCAAATGTATTATTTAATTTTTAAATCCGAATTCTTGTTTATTCTCCGAGACAGTTCTTGGTTTAACTTACATAGAATTGAATTTGTTTTCATATTTTTATTCCATTCAATTGGGAAAGAACTTAGACGACAAAAAAAATCAAATCCATGCCATGTTTTAGTTTCAGACAGTCGCACAAAGAATGAAAAGTGTGTGTCCAGAATAATGAAGAAATATTTGGATTTAACAATTCGTAAAACTAGTTCGATCCGGTTTTAAATTAAAAGCAATTGGTTTCCCAATTGCGAGTAAGTTGCTATTGAGTGGTCAATTAGCTTGATTAATTCCTAAATTTATGGTTGGCCTTAATTCATAGTTTTTTATTTCGACAACTTTTTCTAAATTGCTGAAAATTGCCATGGACAAGAAACGCGAATTCGGGCAAAGTACACGCAAATAAGGACATTTAGTAGTTCTTAATTCATTGGCGCGGCAAAAGGTTAGCGCAGTTCATTCGACCCAATTCCAATGACCTTTGACACGTTCAATTAGCATTAAGTTTGAGTTTCTTGGGCTTGCGACTTACTTTTTATTTGTGCTGTGCTTGGCAGTATTCTGCACTGTCTAGATGAAACTCCATAGATGTGGGAACAGGTCTAACCAACTGGAAGCAGAGAATTTGAGCAAATATAATAATTAGTACAGTTTCATTTTGGGCTCAAACTAGGTAATATATCATATTTTTAATTGTGTACAAATAAATAAACAACCAATTTATGGCTGTTAATACGCCTTGTTATGGGTTGGGACAAAAGATATAATGTAAATACGAATAATTTCCAAGTGTACATATTTTCAAAATGCTTTGTCTCAGTCCCAGAATGTTTCTTTTTGAAGAAACACATATATCACGCCGTCAAATATAGATACAACAAAATAATATTGTATTATATATATGTACACTTGCGCATACATACGCTATATATGTACACATATATATGTGGCATATCTGTTCTACATATATATTTCTAGATACATATACATATGTATATGTGTCCAATGCATAGATAATATCTTTGGCAAATATTTGGCTTTTATTCAGGTTTTAAATAAAAGCACACAAACGATTCTTGTGAAACTTGGCATAACATTGATAATAATGGAAAAATGCTATATATGTATGTATATAAATAAATGTGTATATAATGTTTTACTCTGTCGAAAAACGTCTGGAAGCGTGGAACTAATTAACAAACTGTTGGAAATTATATAGCTTTTTATTTGTACTTGCATTCGCATATATGTGTCTGTGCATATATTTTGTGTGAATTGTTTAGTCATTCTGCGCACATGATTTTTATTTTCGCACATAAGGAAACTTTCACTTGTTTCTGCCTTTGGCGCAATGGGAGCACAGAATCACGCGAAACGAGCAAGAGAACGGAATATCAGCTGTTTACTTGACGATTTTTTCTAATTTTTACTTGACTTATGCAATGTATTTTGTTTTGCGTCTTTGCACAAATGACGAGCACACACACACATATACACACACAGGGAAAAACAAATATGCAAAAGAAAAACAATATAGTATGTGTGGGTGTAGATGTATGTATGTATTTACGTACATATATTTGTATTTGCACTAGTTACAGTTACAGTTCGAGTTTGGCAGAATGTGGCTACCAAAATCGAATCTTAATCGCCTGTAATGCGGCGCGATAAAATCTCGATTAGATATCGACAGGTGTCAATTCTAAGACGCTGATCGATTACAACACTGAGCAGACACCAAATGCTGCGCGATGAGCACTCTTTCATCTTTTGCTATCGACTGAACACTGCCAGCCAAAACGAATCCCACCGTCACTTACTGTGAGAGCCATTTGCGGCCGACACACAGAGAGAGAGAGTAAGAGTAAGAGAGAGAGAGAGAGCGAGCGAGCAAAGATGACGCACAACTCGACTGAACGAACATTTGCTTCATTTGTTTTGTTTGCGCTCATCCTCGATTAAGTGTTTGCCAGCTGTCGAGTACTGCGCTCACCGCTCACCCTCTCCCTTTGACGCACAGTTTTACTCTCGCTTTGCTATGGAATGAATATCTACGTACGTATGTACTGGATGTATGTACATACTTTGTATATGCACGTACGTACGTACGTACATTGCTCCCGTCTCGGAGCCACATTTTTAAATTCTGGCGCAATTTAAAGGCTTTTAAAGCATCTGTCAAACTAACCGAAATGCATATTATAAAATTCATTTAGTTTGTGTCGTCTAATATTGTTAAAGCTGCGTAAAATACACGAAAGATTTTTGTAAAATTGGAAACATTTTACTTTCAACAGTATGTACAAGAGTCGGCTTCGTGTCGTGATATTTGTCGTGGCAACATGACTCAACACGTCGTGTTTGTTTTAGGAGCACGTAAGCACGACTTAACAGAAATTTAAGAAATGTTTGCTTGTTATATGTACATCGTCTCTATATATATAAAGCTGATTGCCCTGACTGTCAGACTGATTGGTGAAAAAAACTCCCAAGCCGTAAGAGCTGGGAAGCAAAAGCTTCTCACCTTTTTTTTGTTTAACCATTCGATCGACCTCAAAATCATTTTTAAAGATCTTTATTCAAATTCGTTAGAGAGGTGTTTCACAATTTTTGGAAAACCCATCGCTCCTTGCTGGAAAAGGGGATCAAAGAATTGGCGGATAAAAATTCGAGCTTAAATTTTTCACGAGTGGGAACTAAAAAACTTATGTCTAAGATTTTAAACACAAAACCTGCCACGGGCAAGGCCGGGGAATACCCAATAGCAGTATACATATTTATATATGTGCTATAAGATCGAAGATGCGTATTTTAAAAAAAGGTGAACCCAAAACATATATCAAGATTGAGAGCATAGAGACCGGCCTACTAAAATGTATTTATTTTTGGATAAATAGATTAAATTATTGTGTAATTTTTTTGGTTTTATCGAACAAACTACAAAGTAATAACACAACAAGAAAGTTTTGAATAAAAAATAAAAAACACGCTATTCATTTGCCGTTTAGTTTGAAGCGGTATCGAAGTATCTCACAACAACTTTCGAGACAAGGTCAATGTTATTAAAGAAAAACAATAAACCGACTTGCGGCAGTTATAATATATACAATTATCTGAGGCGTGCGACAATAAACAGTCAAGGTCAAACCATGAAACTGTTGCAAATGTATCTATCCAATTGAAACCAGTTTAAACATATAATACGGTAGGAAATAAGCACTTGATAGGTCTTAGGCAACAGGTATTACACCCATTGCTAGTGTAAATTGTAATTTATTACGTTCAACCTACCCTGCGATCTGTTCATTCGTTCTATCCCCTAAAACAAGGCCCATCCCACGCTTCAGTGCACACAGATCTACTGTTGTATCAATGGGAGGCATTATATGTAGAATATATGTAGAATATATGTATATAATATGTATGTATATAATATCATATCGTATGTACACACATCATGAGAAATGTACACATATGCTATAAGGTTGTCTGCTTAAATTCGAAGAACACTTTGATCGATAACCATGTAAATCAACATAAAGCAGGGGGAAAGATATAAAGGGGATCAATTGCGTTTAAATAACAATATAGATATATTTACTGAGAGTGCAAAATGTTCTTTTGTCTAACAATTGTCAAAGAAAATTTGATTTATGTACTGCTTTAGTATTCTGTTAACTAAACTTGTTTTCTATTACATCAGAAACCTATTCCCATAGTTTTAAAAGGCTGCGACTAAAAAATACCTAAAAGTATTAAATACTTTTTAGACCCACACTTGAAAATGTCAGTTTAATCTGCTTTGGCAACGTGACGACATAACGGAAAAAGTGTCTCCTCTTTTTCTTGGTACTTCATATATTTCAGATATGAGGTACTCTTCGCTTACTAATCTAATCTGTGTTTATAAATATGCACACACATTGATATGAAAATTCCAATCGAATTTAGTTAAAAGGCGAAAACTTGAAATTTATATAAACGAAAATCATTGAACGAACTTGAATAAAATTTGAGACAACCGCAAGACGGAAAAAAAAAACTTTAATAATTGAAGTGAACGAGATAAAGAGTAAACGGGAATGCCAAGATATGAGAGAGACAGAGAGAGGGAGACGCATGGCTGGAAGCTTTTGCTGGTAGTCTCAGAAATCGAGGATAAAGTGAGAAGAGCAGAGAGTTGACTGCACTCCGGCCAGACAAGTCAATGCCATTGTGAAGCATGTCGCTGATAGACAAACATACAACAACAACAACAACAACAACAATGGCACAAAGGAAACAGCAGGAACCCAAGATATGTCGACGAGGTAATGTCTACATAAAAGAAAACAAAAAGAGAGGATGTACATACATGTATACACAGCGAATTCAATCCCTGGATGTTAAATGTGGCAAATGATGATAGTCTGGTTTAAGGTAAACTCTGGTCTGAAAAATACTGGGATGAAATGTCGAAATTCGCAGACGGAACCTGTCTAATACTTGTTTATTATATTTAAAAAAAAAGAAAAAAAACGCATTGTAAACAAATTAAAAATGGCTTTTAAGAAATTTGATTCGCCTGTCATTTAATATGTCGAAACGTGCCCTCTTTAATATGGGATAAGACTTTACTTAAGCAAGCCCAGACATCGAATGATGTGTTAACTGATTTAAGTCTGCGGACGAGAAAGTCCAAAGGTCAAACAACAGTACATTTTTTTTTAAACCAGAATAGCTTTTACTACCAGATATTCCCAGGAAGTATTTTTCCTAAAATCTGATAGCCTCAAGGGTTTCCTTTTATGTATGTGAAGCATGTACCAACTTATTTCTTGCATTTACAAACTTAACTTATATAATAGATTTACAATTTTATTTGCTTCTTCAATTTTTTTTTTTACATTGTGTAAGAGAAAACCTTTTTAAGACAACAGATTGTTTGTATAACTCAATTTTTTCATTGAAACAAAATGGAACAGCTTTCTTTTATGTCGTTTTTTGGTCAATATAATAAACAAGAAATTAATTTTCGACCGATCCTTTGGCAGTTGTATGATATAGTAGTCTGATTTTGATAAGATTTGGCTTATATGAAAGGTGCATAGTGAAATTATTAATAACAATAATAAACAAAAAGTTGTTCATACAAACAACTCCGTTTCTACCAATTATTTTCATATAACTTATGTGATGAATTAGTCTGGACTTATATGTCTTATGTCTAAATTGACTCGATTTTTAGGGATATGTACATAGGTATGTACGCCTTAAATATTGAAAACAAACATACAAGTTTTATGTCAAGATATTTTACATTCCTTAAAACTCTTTTAATTAGCTAATCCAAAATATTCTTAAACGGCTTTTCTTAAGTCTTAGACTTGGACAATATAAACAATTCTGTATATATGTACATAATCAAAGAACTAAATAAATTGAGCACACATAACCAAAACTGGGACACTAAAAGTTAACGAGTCTGTTCCGAATTATTGATTTTGCGACTAGTTTACACAGTTGTTTGAGCAGAAAGCTATTATTGCCGAAGGTGGGGCATATCCAGGGTAAGCACAAATGTCTAGTCTGGCTTTTAACATAATGGGAGGTATCGTTAGTCAGGACGTTGCCAACTTTTATCGTGTGAAGCTCATATACGAGGGTAGCTTCATACGAACTTCAAGATTATAAGGATTGAGTTAGCTTATGATTATGCCAAAAAGCAATGTGAAAGTACCTACAACAAATAAATTTTTTTTGAGTTAACTAGGGGCAAAATTGATTACGAAACTTTTAAATCATTTAGAGTCTGATGCCTACAAAGCAATAGAATGTACCAAGTTTCTACTCTCTCTCTCTCTCTCTCTCTCTCTTTTACCCCAATTAATTCGATATTTCCAGGACATTTTATATTTTATTGTAAGTTTTTGGTAGTTGAAAAACTCGATGTTTGGGGACATTATATACATTTCTACCGGTAGCTTATCTAAATTCAACCACAAAAAAACTACTCAACCGAAATGGATTTTCTTATCGCTCTTTATGACCTTTTCTAACGTTCTAAATCATGCATCGTTTTCTCTATGCCAACAGGGTTTATACCCTGAAAACGATGCATGATTTCATTTTTTTTGCCGGTCTTTGATGTATTACATTTTGGACACTTCCACCAGGGCATCTAGATCTGCCACAGCTTAAGCTTTAAATGGCCTGAACCCAATAATAATTGGTTAAAAGTGTAGTTTTTCTCTAAGAATCTTCGATTGAATCATTTCAATCTGCATTAAGATGTAAAGACTTGCAATTTTTAATTTGTCCCATTATCAAGTTTTTCCTTTTTTCAACCATATCTCGCTAGAGACAACAACTTTGGTATGTGAAGTTAACAGAGAGACATATGAACTTTTATTTTTCATTTTAACTATTTTATTTTAACTAACCAAGTACCCTTGAGACTGTTATACAGTTGGCTAATCTTCTGTTGCTGTTGCGGACGACGAACAGAACAATTTTTTTGGTGACGTCTTGAGTCGACAAATGCGTCAGCTTTTATCGCATTCGCCTCAATGCATGAGCAAAGACGCGTACGTGTGTGTGTGTGTGTGTGTAAATTTATTATGATTTGTTTGTTTCGAAGAAAATACTCAACGAACAAGTTGCGGTTCGAGTGCTCTGTTAATATATCTACGTGGCATTCACGAGCCCGAACCCTTTACAAGGTTATCCAGTGGAAATTTGTCGCCGCTTTAGCTGGGAGCCAGCCGCAACATTTGCCCAACTATATTTAGACTTTGCTGGTGGTTTCAGTGTCATATTATTCTAGCTCTGTCTCAGTCCCACGTCCCCCTCCCTCCCTCACCTTTGGCAAGCACATAACGGCAACTGACGTTGTAAGTATTGCATGTTTTAGTCGCCTTTCGTTTCTTCCTTTTCTATATTTAGATATGACATGCACACACTAACGAAATTCGCACGCCTTCCGTAAACGTGACAATAATAACAATAAAAATATATACGTATATACATACATTGAGTACTTCTTGCAGTTGTCAGAAGCATATTTACTTAATGAATATTTTACAGAAATAAAATAAACAATATCAATTAATATCATTCTTAATCTTATCAAGGCATGATCACACACGGACTTAACTGAATTCTCAGCCATAAAAAATTAAATTAAATATTTTATTAAAATTTATTTTATTTTATTTATTTACTATATGTATGTAGTCACACTGTGAACAAAAATACATACATACATACATTGATGTCCAATTTCAAACTGACATAAAGCGCGCAAAGAAAGAAAGAAAGAAAGAAAGACAAAGGCAACAAAATAAAAGTGTTTGATTGGGTCCGTCGGATCACATCCCCCCCTTTAATTTGATGTCAAGAATAAATAATACAACAAAATCAACAATTGAAGCTGTACGACGCTGTCCATATCATTGAACTTGCTCAAGGAGAAAACAGATGCAGAAAATGTACAGAACGGAAACTGAAATCAAGCATGCACCGAGTAAAGTTAATTCAGTATATTCTATTCATTTCGGTTAACGGTTATTTGAATTACAATCAGCTGTTGCTCTCCCTCTCTCTGGTTTGGCAAAGATGTGAATGTATGTAAATATGTACATTTATGCCTTTACTGCCGTGCACCTGTTAATGTGCTAGTTGTATGAATGTTTGCATTGACGCAATTGAAAAGAGAATTTTTATGTAAGAGTTGTTTGTATGTGTGATGGAGACAAGACAAAAACAAACGGGAAATGATATCCGTTTCTCTGCACATGTATGTATATAGCAAATATAGGCTAAAAAATACTTTAAATTTAGTATTTTGCGCATTGCACATACCAACAAGTAATGCTCGAAGAATAAAAACTGATAATGAAGTGTGTTTGTAAAATTAAGTATGAAAACTTTGCGGACAAAATACGTAACGCGTCCTTAATTGTTCAGAACAAAATCCAACTGATTCGATTCCGATTTTTTTATCTTTAGCCCAACTCAGATTTAAGTGAATCTTTTTGCGTCGCGATTTTGTTCGGTGACTGTTTTTTTTTTCAGTTGGCGTTGATACGATAAATTTGTTTAAGCATTTAACAGATTAGATATTAGTGAACGTTCTGACGTACATACCTACATACATATAGAACATGTGCATATCTGGCTTGTCTGTTGCTTTTGCTAGTCGTGTCCCAGTTTTACAGTTGAACTACATTTCACCATAACTGTAACCGGGTCAATCCAGTGCAGACATATACTTTAAACTGTCCACATAAATACGTACGTACGTTTACGGGTAATTGGGTCACTACCTCACAGGCAAAGTGCCCAAAGTATCATTAAAATATAAACTAATCAAACACAGGAGTCATTTTAGAAAAAATCGGATGTCTTTTGACTCATCCCATGCCTGTATTGGTCAGGCACAGGCTAAAGTGCATGTGAACAAATGATACACACACACACTTGCACTTACAGGATGGTCAGAGAGTGAGTGGGAGAGAGCGAGTGAGAGTAAAGGTCGATTGCATTGGTTAAAACAATCACTCCATAAAAACAAAAGGGCTCCAGTATTCAAAACAAATGTATATATGTAAATAGTTAAGATAATTCTGTATATTATCCAGACGTTGACATAAGATTTTTATTTTATATATATATATAAATACATATACATAAAATTATGCTCCTATGTCTGTACAGTTTTTAGTTTATTTTACGGCCTAAATAATTTGACTTTGGACTATTTTTGACTATTGACTTTTTGCTTATGTACTTACCACAATTGCCATACACATTTGAGTATAACTTTAAGACTTTTTCGTTAGCTTTCGGGTACGATAAATGGAATTTCACGCACACACAAACACTCTTACACAGAGACGAACGCAATTGATTTTGTGTCTTTAGTTTGACTACAGTTTTGGTTCGCTGCTGCACTCTGATTAGAAATGTTTTATTTTTAATATAAGTGCAAATTTATAGCTTGCAGGAGGCATTAACGCGACGTTTGGCTTATTGCTGCCGTGGTCAAATGTTGTAACCTCAAATTTTTTCACGAGATGTGACTGGGACACAGACGAAACTCGGGCGGTGAGTAGCACTTGGTTTAAGACGCACTCACTATGAAATGTAGTTGTGTGTATCTGTATAATTAACTATTACGCAACTAATTTTAAATTGAATTAGTTGATTATAATTGGGGACAACCGTAAAACCCTTAAGCACGAATATTTTTTGTTAATAGAAATCAGTGTTACCAAAAGTGTGTGATGAGAAAATACAAGCCAGAGAAAAAATACTAAAAGTACTGAATCCGGATAAATGTGGAGCATTTCTGTTAAAAGGAGGAGTATTCATTGACTTAGATTTGATGTTTATTTTTAGTGCTATTTGGTGGCTTTGTGGTGAAATACCAGTGACAGAAAACTAAAAAGATAAATATATACATACATACATTTTAAATAATCTGTAATGTTAAAACGCAAAGCTGAAACTTCAGAAGCAGCCAACGAAATGGCAGCGACAGCACCAAAAACAACTCCCACAACTACCGTGCAGGTAGGTTGGAAGTTAGCTTTTTATCAACGATTTTGAAAGATAATTTTATATAGTCAAAGGGGGATTTTATCATTGGCAAGGAAGAGCCACTTAAGGACTACATCAAGCTGATCGAGACGCGCGTAACAGTAGATCAAATAGTCGACGATAAGGTTACCAAGGAGAACTTTGAGCAAATCTCAAGTGCGGCACGTGACGTCATCTGGCAATTATTGTTCAGTGACGAGTTAGGCGACGCTGAGTCACAGAAAAAAGCTGGCGAGTTGCTCGAAGAACTGAAAAGTGACGTCAGCTTCTATGGACCCTGGGCCTACAACGAGTGGATAGTTACGCTGCGCGACGAGCTCTTGAAAAGAAAACTTCTCGACTTCTGGCGGGACACTATTGTGCGCAAGCAGTTGGGTCCCTGCTGGTCCCGCGACTCGGATCTGTTTGACTGCGACGATGTGCCACCGCTGGAGTTCTATGCGCATGCCGGCTGCGTGGCGCCCTTTGCAGCCAGCTTAAAGGTGCGAGCTGCAGAGAAAGCGGCAACAAGCGGCGACGAGGAAGCCAGCAATCAGATCGAGCGTAGCTCTAACAATGCGACAGCTTTAACGGGCGACTTTGAGGCGAACATAAGCAAGACGGAGCCACTCATCGACTACCGCGACCTGATGAAACGCTATGTGCTGACCACCGTCATTGTGCCGGATGAGGTGCACAAGAAGAATGTCGAAAAGATTGGCCAGGCAGCGCGCAATGCCGTATGGCAGCTGCTCTTCGAGGGCACGCCCACCGAGGTTGAGTACCAGAAGGCCGCCGAGCTGCTGCAGGAGTACAAAAGCGATGCTGGCTTCTATGGCCCATGGGAATACAACGATTGGATTGTCAAGGTCCGGGATGAGCTGCTCAAGCGCGACATGCTTACCTTCTGGTCTGATATGATTGTCAAGAAGGAGCTTGGTCCGTGCTGCTCCCGCGATTCAGATTTCTTTGATGCCGACGATTCAGTGCCCCTGGACTTTTACAACAAGGCCGGTTGCAAGGCGCCCTTCAACATGCCGCAAAAGTAATGCGAATATGCAATCTCTATTGAGCACATTTAATTTAAGAAAACATTTCCAAATTGTATTTATTATTTGGCTGAGCAAATTCTTATGGATTAATGGTAGCTAAAGCATAGCTGCATTTTATAAATTGTTAAGTTTCCGATTGGAATAAACCAACAATTGGTATTTTAATGTTAAACGGATCGTTTCGTCCCGGCTAATCAATTGTCATAGATAAAGCCTTTCAGGATTTATAGACAGCTTGTTGTCGGTCAACAGATTTATCCAATATTCATTTGAATGCCGCCCACCCATTAATATATTCAATATGTCTCTTTCTCCTCGCTGTCGGGTGAAAGTTGGCACATTCTGTTGTTGTTGTTGTTGCTGCTGCTGCTGCTCTTGTGTAATATTCGTAATATTCCTCTGCTGGCAATAAATAACATGTATTTTTTTTAAAAAATATGTGTGTGCTATCCGATTTTCATGGCGCTGGCAATACGATAGAGCGCGCTCCGGAGAGCTCTTGCCCCGAACACACACTCGGGCAATATTTCATTTTTATTATCTCCCTGCAGAGGCCTCTGCAGCAGCCGCAGTCGCGCGCCAAAGGCGTGGCAAGCGAAAGTATTGCATGCCTGTTGCCGGGAAACTCCAAGGTGTCTATATGCACACATATTTACCTTTATATGCGCCATAAACTTATGTTTCGATTATTTTTAAGCTAAAACAAAGGCCATTTGTGTTCGGTTATGGGATATTTCCGGTTCTAGTCTATTTCGGATCGCCGAAGATTAAGCATCCGTATAGACATATGGCATAGATGTAGAAGTAAAGTTACAGAAAATCTTTATTTTCGACCGATTGTTCCTATAGGATTAATATCATGTTGTATGCCAATTTGGAGCTAGAAGGGATAAAAAGTCCGGTGACAAGTCTTTGTTCCAGTCTGAGCATGGTTTAGTTTAGTCGAAAATATTAAAAAACAAAAGTTTTTTACATTTCGACCAATCATTTCTCTAGCAGTGCTCCGATCCTTCCGTTCCCGACACATATATGTATGTCCACCTACAAAAAAACGAGCCTAAACTCCGTTAGGATCTTTAAGGACCGAGTGGATCGCATAGTTGGATAGTTGGATCGTCTCTTGATTAGAAAATTCTTGTGTATAGATTATAGAGTTAAATCAATGTATAATTTATGGTAAGTATATTTTCGACTTGAAATTATTTTTGTTTGAAATAAGCTCTATATAATTCCGAAAATATTTTTTCTGAATTTTTTTTTTTTTTTTTGTATACAAATAAGTTTGCTTAACGATTATTTAATGCATATGTATATATATATATATTTATACCTTAAGCGAGTTGGTCCGATTTAGAAACTGTTTTTTCATTTTCCGTTTACAGTCTTGAATCGAATAATTTTATTATATCAATATAATTAAATATAAGGAAAATTTGAGAACTAAACTAAGTGAAACGCCAAAAACACAAAAGCAAAAAAAAAAGAAAATTAATTAATTAAATAAGAATTTTGTTGCACTGACTAGAGGACATTTTGAAAACATTTTAGAACCGTCAACAATAGAACCAGAAATGTAAAACCAAAATAAACAAATACAAGAATTCCACTTAACACATTGGACAACGCAACTAAACGGAACTTAAAATTTGCGTCCTTTGGTTAAATTTGACACCTATTCACATATACCTATATATTCGGGGGATCACTCGGCGTAGAGCAGCCGGGAGCGCGACTTGCGCAAGGTGCGTGAACGTGTCGATGAGGAGGAGCTGCTGCCGCCGCCGCCGCCGCCGCCTTCAGCTCCGCCAATGCCGCTGTCGCCACCGTCGCTATCGCCGCACTGCCAGGACTTGGTTTTGGCGCGAAACAGACGATATTCCTCGTTGTGTGCCGGCGCCAGCATGGGCACATAGTTGCAGGGCTCGCACAGATCCATGTAGCTGGTGAAGAACTCCTTGTAGCCATTGTGCAACAGGTACAGCTCCGGATAGTCCAGCGAGGGATAAATGTGGGTGTGCACATTGCGATCGTTGTTGCGCAGATAGCGAAGCAGCTTTGGGCCGCGCTCCGACGAGAATTCGCAGTGGAACACGTAAATACGGCGTTGTCCGGCGGACTGGTCTGCAGCCGCAGCTGTCTCCGTTGGAAAAGCATCCTTGATTTGGGCGCGTGTGTAAAGGTTCAGTGCGCCACGTATGTGACCGCCATTGAACTCGTACGGATAGCGACAATCGATAATCTGGTAATGGCCCGACAGATCGGCGAATTCGCCGCGCATCAGACGGGCCAGAGTTTCGCATGATATTGTCTTGAGGTCCCGGTGCCGCACGCCGGAGAGCAGCACGGGCAGGGCGCACGGCTTGCTCAGATCGCCGATCAGCGCCGGCTCCTCGGCCAGGGCATTGAGTATGTCGGCATCGTTCATGGACGCGGCTTTGCGCATGTGGTTCGTAGCGGGCGGGTTGTGCTGCAGTTGTGAATCATTTACGGCTTCGCCGTGCTCCGGGGGCGACACATCCAGCGAATCCTGCTGGGACATGCTCAGGCAGCGCCGTACGGAACGATTCTTATGCGTTGCCTCGTGCTCGCCCGTTTTCAGCTGGCCGCTGATCAAAACATCCAAATCGCCTGGGAGCTTGGCCAGCGGCAGCTGCTCCAACGTCTCCAGCTCAAACATGGCCATGTATTCGTCATCCAGCGAGTTGCTGGAGTCGTAGCTGGACGAGACGCTGTTGTAGCTGCGCAGCGTGCTCGATTTGGGCGTGCCGCCGCCATCGAGCAGCGTGTCACGCATGTTCTGCGACAGCTCGGTGATCGGCGAAAGGATGCTCGAGTTGCCGGAAGTCTGGCGCAGCAGCATGCGCTGCAATGGCGACTCGCAGCTCAATTTGCCATTCGCCTTGTGGCGCTTCGCCGAGCTTGGCCTTGTGTTCTCCAGATTGTCGCGATCTGTCGCCAGCAGCTGTTCGTCCTCGTGCCCGCTTTCCTCCAGCATCAGGCTAAGCCGCTTCCCCGCCATGCCGATTCAGATTCACCTTCGGATGTAGATTTCGATTTCGTTCAACAGCAATTTATTTATTTAGAAATGTTTTTTGCGAAAAGACTCCCGATCGCGATCTCTAGCTTTTTTTCTGATCTTTTGGCAATTGGATATTTAATATTGAATGGATATTCTATATTAATGGCCTCGATTGGTGGCGTTTCTTTCGGTTGCTGCTTCTCTCTGATTTTCGCGCTCTCTTTGCCCGAATGTCACTTATCGTTGGCGCCGTTTTCATCTTTCTCTAGCTCATCCCACACACATACACAGGCACACGTACACGCAGCCGCGCACAGGCACACGCACACGCGCGCACTTGCAGAATGGTAAACAGAGCGCGTTAGAGGTGGGCGATAGTTTGATCTTGAACTTTCATTGTTTCAGTGTCAGCTGGTTTTCAAATTCACCACATTGAATTGATTTGTGCTTTGTGAAATAGTATAAACATCAAATTTGAAGGAAATCTTTTAGCTGATATTATTTTAAATGATTTCAAGCTATCACTTGTCTAGACTGTTAGCCCAGTACAAGCGCGGCATTCAGATAGTGAGTAAATAAGTTCTTGTTCATAAAGGAGCGGGTGCAACTCTTCGATCTCTTTGGTCTTGTACTTAATACATACATACATATGTACATACATACATACATACATACATATTTAAAAAGCATTTTTTCCCCATTTCAGATTAACTATGTCTGTGCATGTCTCAACCATTAGGAAGATCTCAAAAATCCTCTACATGTTCAAAAATCGAATCGGTGTCCCTGATTACAGGTAAGTAATTCTTAACAATTCACATTAATTACATAAGAGACGTGCACCTTGAAGGTTGCTGGCGTGCCTATGGGCGTGTATATACATATATAGGTTATATATACATATATAGGTTATATATTATATAGGGCGCAGTGGGTCCTAATTTGCTTTTCGACCCAGGGGATCTTCAGATCTCTGTGAAGAACGCTGTTGCGTACGAAATATGGAGCTGCTTTGAAGAGATTCAACTCTTTTTCGTTTAGATGGAGCAGCCAAGCCCCAGATCTGTATGGCATATCGCCAGATGGGTGCCACAGGGAAAGTTTGCTGCTTGGTTTGAAGAGCCATTATAGCTTGGTCAGGTTCCCCTGATGTGGCTGGCGAGCTCACTCAGACTTCCAAAGGAACTTCAGTTGCTGGCTATAGGAAAACTATTTTAATTACTAAAAACGATCCGTTTTTGTCTGTAATATGGTATAATGATCTAATCCCGAAGAGTCTCATTTGCGATTGATCAACGTGCACATAGATATCGACGTCCGATTAAGGGGTATACCTATATTTCTATATATTTTATACATTTTGTCTTCTTCGAAGAGCACGTTGTGTCATTTGGCCAAGTCTTGCTGCAGAGGCGAGCCCGAACACTTATTTACTAGCTGGCTGTCAATTTAATCGGCCACGTTTTAACCTCAGCTGTCAGCCCGGTTAAAGCGCCGCTTTTGTCGCCGTTTCCATCGCCTTCGATCTGTGGCTGGATGTCATTACCAAATTCAAGCAAAGTGCTGTCAAAAGATAATTACCGTTTTAGCTTTTGCGCAGACAACCAAATGACGCCAACGCAACAACAACAACTACAACAACTCTTAAGACGTTGAAACCAGTTTGTGTTGTCGTCGTGTTTGGTACATTTCAATAAAACCACTAAAATTGTTGATTAATTCGCAAGCTTTTGATACAGAAGTTGATTTTGTTTGCTTGCGCTAAACAAGCAGCCGACTGTCAGATACTCTGTGTTTTTCTGCAATTAATCTTTATTGGTTTTTAAGTAAAATACATTGCTTCGGATTGGGACGGGACATACTTCTTATAACTTGAATACTCCTGCGGAGTATATATAGCCAAGTCCAGTTTCTTATTTATCTATAAATACAACTGCATTATACTGTTTTGTAGATTCTAGAAACTTTGACACAAAAATTCAACTCCAGGCACAAACATTTTAAAGCATAAATAATTTCAGTTTACCTAGCGCTGACTTAATAATAGTTAGCAAAAAAATTAAGTACTTTTTAACTGTTGTTTTTTGTATGAGTAATATAGAGTATAACAATGAATATGTGTGTATGATTATGTTAAGCTTGGCGCCAGATTC